TGAGAAGGGGATTGGGGACGGGACGGCGTATTGCAGCATGAGTGGTCATTCTCCTCCTTGTTACCATTGCCGCAGCGCCGTGGCTCCAACGGCTCGAAACGGAACGAAGCGTGACGGCCAGATTTCGTGTTTAGGCGAGTAGGGTTTCGTGGGCCAAGCGGGTGCGGAACGCACGGGGCAGGAACAGGGGAGGACGAAGGTGGATAGAGGGACGGGGGGAGGGTGGGGGGAGGGAGGGGAGGAGTGACCGCAACGTAGATGATATTTGGCAGTAAAGGGAAGACTCCCCGTACAGGATGACGTGTGCAGCTATTTCCCCTATCGGGTATTGCAGGCTCCAGTTGGAGTAGAATCAACGGGTGTCGGAGTGCGACTCGGTTCTTCACTCTTGCTGGAGACGGACGTGCCCTCGGCTGGGAACCCTTGGAAGTTCGGCCGTGCCTTGCACTATGTGGCTTGATGACCAGGAGCGTGAGCATCCGCAGGCGGACCAGGACGAGGAATAGGGCTAGGGCAAGGGACAGGACTGGCAGGCGGAGAGCACAATGTAGCCCTGCGCGGGGAGGAACGAGGCGAGCAGGAGATAAGGGAACAGGAGCTGAGGGAGGTCGGGCGGGCGACGGGCGACGGTCGTGCTCTTGCTGGGATTCGGCGGCGAGCGAGGGGGGGGGAGTGAGAAGGGGCGGGCCTTCTCAGAAGGCTCGGAAGTCCCTGGGCCTTCTGAGGATTCTCTAAGCCTTCCCCGAAGACACAGACAACTTTTAGAAGGCGCGATGGCGCCTGAGAAGTCCCACAGCGTTCTGAGAATGCCTTCTCCTTCTCACTGCCCCCCTCGCTCGCCGCCGAGGGGATGGGGAGTGGAAGTGGGATGCGGAGGAGATTCGCCAGGCAGACGCTCTCTGGTAGAGCCGACGTGGCTCAGCGTGACCCACACCTCTGACGCCGTGACTGTCTCGAATCGTAGACCCCCACAGAGGTTTCAACCTCCTTCCCCGGGACCAGCCTTTCATCCAGTGCAGATCCTTGAAGGTACCATGCTCCGTTGAGGGCTCCCGGAGGCCGCGGTCCCGCCGGAGGAGGAGGAGGAGGAGGAGGAGGAGGAGGAGGAGGAGGAGGAGGAGGAGGAGGAGGAGGAGTAGGAACGCCGCAGCTGCCGCGGCGCGAGGAGGTGTGGGTGACCCGTGGCCTTCGGCCGGCGGCCCCGTCCTGCCAGGCGCGGTGCCTCAACGCCTCGCTGCGCTGACTTCCTCGGGGCGCCGGCGGGGGCCCCCTCCGCGCCGCGGCACCGAGTGCAGGACCATCAAGCACATGGCAGAAAAGCGTCAGCCTTGACTATCGCCGTGGCCCCGGCCACGTTTCCAGCCTGGAGCTGTGCTCTCTCCTCTCGTCGCCCAGTGGCTCTCACGTGAAGCCCAGCCGCTGTTTCAGCTTGGAACGGGGTTTTCGCTTCAGGGTTGGCAACTCCCGGAGGAGGAGGAGGAGGAGGAGGAGGAGGAGGAGGAGGAGGAGGAGGAGGAGGATGCTTGAGAGAGGCAACCACTGCGCTTCTATGCATGTGTATGTGACGCCTTCTCGCGTGTACTTGAGTAGGGTTTTCCTGATCAGCGATGTTTGTCGGAAGCGTTTTATATTCTGCTTGGGGGCGGCGGCGAGTGAGTCTCATGTGTGAGTCTCGCCTACACGTTCGGCCACATGATTCCATATGTCCCGTTAGAACAAAGTTTGAGAATAGGACTAGTATCCGACGGGTATCATTAGGTCATTCCTGCTTGCATTCTCCCCCTTGTGATGGCCTATTGGCGAACAGGCTCGACTTCTTAACCGAAGCTCTTGCGGCTACGCTTCGGCTGTACCCCCCGCGCAATGTGCCAGCCGTCACCATCTGCAGAAGGATTGCAACAAAGGATTGCAACAAAGGATTGCAACAAAGGGTTTTTGTTGCAATCCTTCGGTTTTTGTTGCAATCCTTCGGTTTTTGGTTTTTGTTGCAATCCTTGGTTTTTGTTGCAATCCTGTGTTCTCTCAAGTCTCTCAGCGCGGCCCGCGGCGCGTTGCTCGAGGCGCCCGCACGCAGGTGCCGACGGCCAGGCCATGCGCGTGGTGGTGGTGCCGGCGCTCTCGGACAACTACGCGTATCTGGTCATCGACGACGAGACCAAGGAGGCGGCCGCCGTTGACCCCGCCGAGGCGCACCTCGTGCTCGCGAGGGCGCGCAGCGAAGGCGTGAAGCTCGTGGCCGTCTTAACGACGCACCGCCACTCTGACCACGCGGGCGGCAACGACGAGATGCGGAAGCAGATCCCAGGCATAGAGGTCTACGGCGGCAGGTTGGACAACGTTCAGGCGTGCACGCGTCCGTTGGACCATGGCGACTGTTTCTCGGTGGGTGGAATTATCGTCGAGGCCCTGCACACGCCTGGTCACACGAGGGGGTCCTTAAGCTTCCACTGTACCCAGAAACCGAAGAAGGAGCTGCCTGATGAGGAGCCGCATGAGAAAGCCGTAGGCGTAGTGTTCACTGGCGACACGCTCTTTGTTGGCGGCTGCGGGCGCACATTGGACGGCACCCCTGAGGAGTTGCACAACTCGATCGTGAATGTCCTAGGGCGGTTGCCGGAGGATACGCAAGTGTACGTGGGTCACGAGTACACAATTAAGAACTTGCAGTTCGCGGTCACGGTGGATGCGGAGAATACTAGCCTCAAGGAGATGTTGGAGCTTTCCGAGCAGTTGCGCCTTGAACGTAAGTTTACTGTGCCCTCGACGCTGAAGAACGAGTGGCTGATTAACCCGTTCTTGCGGTCTGGTTCTGACGAGCTGCAGAGCGCTTGCCCTGGATGCACGCCCGTGGAGGTATTCGCGAAGCTGCGCCGCCTGAAGGACCGATTCTAAGCAACCCGAGCGGTTGTGGCCACATGTCAGATGTCTGTCTCCTCCCTTCCCTACCTCCTCTTTCTCCTAGTCGTTATCTTCCTCCGAAGTGGATCAGGAAGACGAGCATGTAGAGCATGTAGTCACCTGGCGCCCAAAGGGGGTCTGCAGCGCGTACAGCCTCGCACGCACCAGGCACTACACGAAGCGCGAAGCACGCATTACCCACCTCTGGGGCTGTGGGATGGCCTTGATTTTGCTTTACCCTGGCTGGATGTACCCTTCTGGATCTCGTGCTTTCTATCCGTGTATATTCTAGACGCTTCGTGTAGCCCCAACCAGCCCATCCAGAAACGATGCCCAGGCGAGTTGTCCTGATCAGGGATATGGAGGAGCATGCAGCGGAACATATGCCGGGGAAGCCGTCCTGTCGTACCCCTAGAGGGGGAGGATGGATTCGGATTCGGATTCGGATTCGGAGGAGGAGGAGGAGGAGGAGGAGGAGGAGGAGGAGGGAGGAGGGGGGAGAGGGGAAGGAGATGAGGAAGACGGAGGAGGAATAGGCGGATGAGGAAGAGGAGTTGGAGGAGGAGAGCGATCAGAAGGCCATGGGCCTTTTGAATGCCTCCCGGAGTCTCGTCGGATGTATCTTGAGAGCTTATTGGATTCCTCTTGGTCCGTCTTGGGGCCCTCTTGGCGGTCCTGGTGGCCTCTTGGAGCGTCTTGGGCGCCTCGGGGGGCCTCTTGGAGCCCCTTGGGGGTCTCCTGGGAGCCTCCTGGGGGACCTCTTGGGGGCCTCTTGGGGCATCCTGGGTGCCTCTTGGGGCCCTCTTGGGGCACCTTTTGGAGCCGTGGGGGCCATCTTGGGGCCATCTTGAAGGAGATCGATCAACGGAGGGTGGGCCCTCATTTAGCCGCCCCCCTCTCCAGCTTCTGATATCACCTCTCCGGTCCCTCTTGGGGCACTCTTGGCGCCGTCTTCGGGACTTTTTGGGCATCTCTTTGGGCTCTCTTGGAGCCGTCTGGGAACTTCTTGGAGTGTGCTGGAAACCAGCTTCTGCTATCTGGAGCCATCTGAGAGTTGTGGACGACGATCAATGAAGAGGAAGCATGCCTACAAATGTTTTCAACATGTCTGAAACATGAAACGAATGTTTAAACATGTCTGGAACACTTTTCCAGCATTTTCAAAGACATAGTTAAATTCAATGATCGAACGGTTAGAGTGTCCACTGTCATGGCGTCCACAATTTTAGAGATCATTGTGGGCTCCCCGAGGCATTCTTGGAGCCATCTTGAGCCAAAAAGGACCCTCTGACACCTCGCGGGCCGCCCCGTCTAGGGGAGGGAGCAGGGGGAGGTCTAAATCCCTCCTCCTCCTCCTCCTCCCTCGCTAAACCGTCTCCGTCCAGGGCTGGTGGGATAACAATGTTTTCATGTGTCAGTAGTGTTTGAAATTTGCAGCTCACAGGACCGTGGGGTGTGCATTTCCAAAGAGCCGCCCAGTCTGCGACGTGTGCCTCCAGGCTGCAGAAACGTATGTCGGGCGACGAGAGGGATGAGAGCCAGGCATACAAACCGATCCAGGCCAGGCACATCCTGGGCCCGGGGTCGGTGCACGCGCCTCTCTGCCCCAGCCATGAGGGCGCATGCACCGATCCTGGGCTGGGCAGGGCCAGCATAAGGGGGGGCTCGCGCCGTGTCGACCGGCGGCGACCCCGCCGCCGGCGTTCAACGTTGAACGCCGCTGGCGACCCATAATCGGTCGATGCGGAACAATCCTCCTCCTCCTCCTCTCCCTCCTGCCTCCTCCTCCTCCTCCTCCTCCTCCTCCTCCTCCTCCTCCCTCCTCCTCCTCCTCCTCCTCCTCCTCCTCCTCCCCCTCCTCCCCCCCCTCCGTTTCGGAAACACCACGTCTCGTCGACGGCGGAACGACCCTCGCGGTGTCGGGAACCAGCGCCAGGCTCCACACGACGCGGACCTGCCGCGTGTGCGAAGCTGGCGCCACCTCGCGATCGCGGCGACAGAGTCGGGCGGCCTCTTCTCCTCGTGCGCTCGCGCTGCGCTCCGGGCAGCTCCCGCGGTGCGGCCCCGCCGCGGGCCGCGCCGCGGGCGGCCGAGAGCCGTAGATGGCGGCGTCGGGCGCCGCGGGGCTGCTGGCGGCGCCCGCCGGGCGGCCCGCGGGCGCGGGCAGCTATGGCGCAATGAAGCCGCCG